ACTTACATCGGTGATTTGGCGACAGCGGCTTCTGTGACTGGAATGAGATCATGGATGAGAGGCAGTGCAGTACATTGCAATATGGAGACTGCGCAGGCGCATATCAGGGCTAAAGAGGAACCATACCCTGTCTCGCCGCAAGATTGGCTTCACACCCCGTTGCGAGGCTCAAATTTGATCAACTTCTGCAATGTCATGTCTCGAGACCGCGGACATGGATATCCCTTCAAAGAGCTTCCAGCCCGCAAAGTGCCAGAGCCAAGGGAAGCAACGTCGAGTCTGGAATAGTGTGCCTCCTTGATTCGAGACGAACGGGCAACGCTCATCTCATCGGACCTTGTTCGCGACATTCACAGGGAGTATGAACTCGAGCGGATGTAACGTCGAACTGGGGACATGGTCATGCTACTTGGAGGCATTCCCCTGGTTTTCAAGCTTTCATTTACACTCGTCGCTTCCGGAGCCGACGCGAAACAAGCACCGTGCTGGGTAAGTAGGTTGCGGCATAATTGCAGACTCTGGGCAAAAAAGAGGGGACAGAGTCTATTGTTATGCCCTTGATAAGATGGCATCACACAGGACGCCTTGACGGATACTACTAATGTACATCACCGATCAAAAGCTCCGTTATTCGGAGTGGATGCGAGGACGGCGATGTGTTTGACGGTTAGCAAATCGATCCAATTGGTACCAAGACAGCTGCCCCCAGCAAACCTCCAAAGTTTATCAGGGCCCGTCTGTTCCAACCAACCCCTTTGAAATAGCTAAGACAGAAGAGTTTGGCGGTCTTTGACGGCGCTACGTTTCGTTCCGTGTTAGTCTTCACAAAGTTTCGACCAATTCGGGGTCCTGGGCTAAAAGAGCCTAAGACTCAGAGAGGGGGCTCCGGCGAATGTGGGAGACGCAATAATATCAATCACGCGCCCAAATTTTAACATTGCGTCGTGGGAAGTTGCGAGATGAACCCCCACCGAAGGGCCGAAGCTCACGGTTGATAATGATGAGACAAGTGAGACATCTGCAGCGACGACAGGAATGGGGAGCATCGTTAACTGCGATGATCAACTGCCGTCAACGCCTGAACCCAGCCGGGCCAGAGCGCATGTAAGGTGGTATATATTGCTTCGGTTGCTGGGCAGATATTACACTGGCATGCTGTTGATAGCCGAAAGCTGCATTCCGCCACCATTCAGAGTTTCCAAGCGGCATGTAAGTGTGTCGCTGGATGCTTCAGAACACGAACAAGTTCGGTGCTCTACAAGACTAACTCCAGAGCCTGGTAGCTCCCCGTCGCTTTGCCAGGTTTAACCCCTTCGTCCAAGCCACCAAGAAGCATGTACGATGGTAGGATTTCGTTCGACATCGACAGGTCACATCTAATAACACACAGCGCGCGTTCAAAAAAAGAGAGGATTGAATGCCTGTTCCCTGCCCGTCTTCACTGTCCGGCCCGTCCCTAGCAATTTGGTTTTCCAAACTAGTCAGCAGCAGCGCACACCCAATAGAACCGAACCGTCCACTCGCGCGAATTGGCGCGGTATCGTTAGTGCTGTGACGGCTCTCTTCTTCTTCCTCTTTTTCTTTGGCTCCCTGGCAGGGCCGCAGACGCACGCACGAAAGAAGGAAGAAGAGATTTGAAAGGTGATACTTTTGGGGTGCGCCGGCGATCGTTGTGGATGTGCTGCCCGGGCCAAAGACGATCGATGCCGTCTCAAATCTCGCCAACTGGCAAATGAGTTGAGGGGACAGCTAGGTACACACGCATCCAATCCTCTATCTCCTCAGTCATTCTTCATTCACCCCCTTAGCAAGCAAGGGGGGGGGGGCCAAAAAAGAGAGAAAGAGAATGCTACCCTGACGAAGAAAGTTAGGTATGTGATGGCACAAGGCAGGGCGGGTAGGCACGGCGAAGTAAGGTAAGGTAAGGTAGGGGAGGGGGGGAAGCGGAAGCGGAAAGCGGATAATACGTGATGTGAGGATGGCATGCGTCTTGCAGCTGCAACTAATAAACGGTTGCTTCACACGGGCCGCGGTTCATGCGCCCAACTCTTTCTCTCTCTCAGTCTCAACCGACTTCGACCTCTTCGCGCGCCGTACTCCGTAACCCACCCCCTGGCCCGGCTGGCTGGCTTTGCTGGACAGACCAGACCAACCTCGGAAACGGAAGTCGTCGATAGGTAACGCGAGAGAGAAAGAGAGAGGCACAGACGCGCGTGATGATCAACGACACCGGCTTTTTGACCAGCGGGTGACCCTTCTGCCCGCTTCGTGCAGGTTGCTGCTCGTTATGCAGCAAGCCGTTTGGGGGTGAGAAAAGAGGCAAGGTGCTTGCTTGGGTTTGTTGAAGCCTGCTTTGGGGGGCTGGCTGGCTGGCTGGCTTGGCTGTATGAGTGATGCGCGCCTAATAAGAGCTTCGCCATTTCATTAACATTGGCAACTCCAACGCCAACGTCACTGTCACTGGTGTAGCTTGCGACGACAGGGCGACGGAGCTATTAACCGATACGACTCTGGAGGCATCCGTGACGAGGAACACCCTTCCTCCCACGTTGCTCATCACTCACGGAGCCAGGGCGCCAATCAACCTCACCTCAAGGTCAGGCGATTGTATGGATAAATAGAGTATCTCGACGACAAGACACGCGCAGTTACTGTTTCCGTATGGCTACATATACATGTCATCGATGGTTCTTTTTTTTTTTTTTTTTTTTTGGTTACTCCCGCCTGAACCCGCATCTGCACCCGAACGAACAGCTGCACGATTCATGGGAGCGCGAGATCCCTCCCCGTGAACCGTGAACGAGCCCTCGTTACAACCCACCCCTCGTTCGGGAAATTTGCAAGAAAAAGAGACGCTGCTAACCCCCCCCCCCCCCGGGTTGTGGGCGATCATTGATGTCTGATCACCCCCTAAAAAAGCCCTTGATGATGGAACATTTCAATCGGGGGGGCCGCGCTGCATAGCATACTTACCTACATGAACGGATACCCCATGGATAATGGAAACTTGCTGGCCTGGACTGGCCCATGAACTCCTCACCTCAAGGCTCAAGTGCCCTCGCACCTCCAGGGTGCGGTACCACCGTATTCTTACGGAAAACCTGGACGATATCCTAATATTCCCCTCTCAGTTCTTCGTATTATTCAAATATTTCCCGGAGCGGGCGGCCCATCTTTTTTGTTTCCTTCTCTCGCGTTGGTAAACTTCCATTTGTTCCTTCAATCTTCCATGAGCGTGGCGGGTTCGCTTGACAGACGTGACAGATACAAGCTGCTTTGACCTCCTCTGGAGGGGTTCGCAACGGAGCCAAGATGAAGTTAGAGGCTCGTAGCCAAGCCCGAGGAGTTAAAGAAGAAGGGGAAACCATTACGCGCAGGTTTGTTTCGGCACGTGAAGTGAACGGCTTGTTTGCAAACATTTCTTGGGACCAACGTTCGGATGGAAAGAAGAAAACCCCCCCCCCAAAACCGCGAGAGACATTCACTCTACTCGCACAAGTGACGAAACCGCGTTTGGGGGCGCGACCAGACAGGCGGCCCTCGGCTCACTTACTCACCCACAGGCGCACAGTTCACTCACTCAACTTTCGGTCGCGACGGGCCAGGGCCACCCACGGGCGCGCGGAGGATCTGGCACATCTCACTCACCACAAGTTTGTTTCCGCGGCACCGCCGTCCCGGAACATGCATCCAATGCTTCCCCGGGCCCCCGGAACTGGGTGTTGGCGAGGCCTGTAAGCAAACATTTCGTCTTTAATCAACAGCAATCCTTAGCCTTGCTAATCTAACACCGGTCATAACTCTGTTGGTGCAGGGGTTTCTTTTTTTTTTTTTTTTTTTTTTTTTGCTAATGAATTTCTTTGCCATGGCGCGACTGTTGGTTTTATCATGAAGTTGCCCTGCGTACGAAGTCACAAAACTACGAAAGACGTGACACAAAGTTCCAAGCCAACGAGATCGTCCTCGGCGGGCGACGATCATCCATCCGCAAGCGAATAATCTACAGATACAGGGTTGACAAGCGTCGCTCGCTCCTTGGCTATTTTTTGTTTGTTTGTTTTCTGCCCACTTGGCAATGATGAGTTGCATCAGGAGATTTTCTGCTGAGATCTGCCGGTCAAATTTTCTTTGGAGTTTTATTGAAACATTTCTTACCCTTGTCCGTTTTTTTTTTGCATCTTATTTCTTTTGGCTTCTTTTCTCTCTTTCCGGAAATTTCCTAGGTTACTTTAGGCTTCCATTTGCTTCAACACGGGAGATTCCGTCTCCCATTTTCAGTTTATTGTTGGAGGCCTCGAGATGGGCAAACCTTTCGACCTGGGGTGATTATCCTTTCTTCAGTTCAAGTGGGTGCGTGTGTTGCGTGTGTGTATTTGTGTACGTTGACGGATCTTGTGTTCCTTCTGCAAAACACAAAAAATCGTGGGACTGAGGCTAGGCGGCCCGTCTTCCGCGTATTCACTCGACTATTCGGGAAATGCGAACGCGGTGGCTCCGTGGTTCTTCTTGGGAGTGAGCCAGATGCTTCATCCCGGCGGAAAAGGCCAGATAACAAAATTCCAAGTGGAATGGCCGGATATATCACCAGCGCGATGTCATGATTAAAAGCTGGCTCTTTGCAGAGTTGCTAATGGAGTGACTCCGCTGATGCTGCCGTGACGTCTGCATCTCCTACCTCTCAAGAAAAAGACGCTTTCTTCTCATCCGGGCGGAGCGTCTGCGGAGTGACGAACCGAACCGAGAAAAGACCGTGGTGCTGTCGGGTTTCCTTCGGGTAATTGTTGAGCGAAACGACTCATTTTCGCAGACAGCATTCCCGGGTTTACTATCTGTACAAGGATATAGCTTAAACCTCCTCATCGCGAAATCCCTCACGCTTGAGTCTCCAGTACTATCAAGTATAGGACAGAGTGATAATCTGACCAAAACCCAAAGTCTCTCTACATCGAGTTTTGCGGGGGACACTACGCAAAAGTTCACTCTGTACAACCAAATAGAAAATGGCGCCTCTTCAGACATGGACGGTCGACAAGCCGTACCTCAACATCCACTGCGGCCTAGGCGAAGGACCATACTACGAAAAGGCGACCAACGTCCTCCGCTTCGTCGACATCAAGAAGAAGAGGGTCCACTTTGTCAACCTCGACCAAGGGCCCGAGTCCCTGCGGACGCTGCAGCTCGACGTGCCCGTCGGCGTGACGGCCGACGTCGAGGGGGTCGACCCGGCCGACAAGATCCTGGTCGGCCTCAAGTACGGCATCGCCGTGCTCGACGTCCGGTCGGGCGCGTACGAGTACGTCGCCAAGCTGCACGACCGGCACAATGAGAGGTTGCGGTCCAACGACGGCGCCGTCGACCCGAACGGACGGTTTTGGCTTGGTACCATGACGGATTTCGGACTGGGTGATTTTCAGGTTGAAGGTATGTTACGGATATTCTCTCATTCGGCGGGGTTCGTTTCTCTCTCTCAGTCATCCATGACATGGCATGAACCCTTGTCACTCAAAACTCACGACACCGCATCTCTCACTCACCTCACAGCCCCCCCCGTCGTCATGACAACACAAACCTCTTCACCGCAAGCGCACTCCCGGAGAACCAACATGCACCAGGGGAAAAAAAAAACCCCCCTTGTAGAAGGAACATGAGCTCACTCATCGGGGTCACCGACCCCCTCCCCCCTTAGGCGCACTGCACCGCTTCGACGGAAAGTCGGGCAACGAGCAAGTCCTCCAGGACATCCTGATCCCCAACTCGGTGGGATGGTCCCCGGACAACAAGACAATGTACTTTACGCACTCCACCGACCGCAAAGTCTACGCGTGGGACTACGCCCCCGCCGCCGCCGCCGCTGCCGACGACGGCGCGCTCTCCAACAAGCGCGTCTTCTACACCCACGACGGCAAGGGCGAGCCCGACGGCTTCCGTGTCGACACGGAGGGCAACCTGTGGCACGCCGTCTACGGCGAGGGTCGCGTGCTCAAGATCTCGCCCCAGGGCCAGCTCCTTGGCGAGGTGCGCGTGCCGACGCTGGCGACGAGCTGCGTGCAGTTCGTCGGGACCGAGCTCTTCATCACGACGGCGCAGCTTGGCGAGGACGAGGGGACGGAGGAGCAGAGGGAGCTTGGGGGCGCGTTGTTCCGCGTCGATGTTGGCGCCAGGGGTCTGGAGCCGTTTGAGTTTAAGCTCTGATGGGGGGGGGGGGGGTGGTTTGTTCCCGGGCCGGGGGGGAAAGGGATGGATCCGGGCTTCGGATTGAGGGTTCAACATGGGTTCTTGGTAAAGTAGCGCGTATCTTGGTTGTGGTCGTGGTCTTGTTTCACGGGTCCATGGCCGCGATCTTCACAGATGGGGTCTGATGAGCATGGGGGCATGTGTCACGTAGCTGCATCAAATACGGAGCGCGGCCTTCACGATATCCTCACGATGGAACACGAGCTACGATACTTGAGGGGGGCTGGATGAATGGATGGCCGGGGCTTCTGAGTCCGTACTCCAAAGGAAACTAGGTAGGCAAGAGGGTGATAGTGGGATGCGTTGATGACGACAATGAAGCATACGACACCGCTCTTTCTCTCCCGGCCTCCCTCTCTTTGTCGCCGTGCTTACCGCGTCTCGCTATCGATTGCTAAAGAACCATACTACCTTGCTATCGTGACATTTCAATGGCCAGGTTTCTCACGGACGTGGACGACGATAGCTTCATTGGGACTGGAAGCAGAATGCGTTGTTCGGTGACACCGGGTCCGAGGCCTCATCACCCTGTCCAACCTGCGCTTCTTGCGCTTCACGATAATATCTTTTGGCGGTTTGCCTGGGAACGAGCCCTTTGACTCACGTTTGTTGCCAATCGACTTGGTGATATGCACTCCGTATTGTATATAGAACTGCAGCATGCAGCAGGTTCGCCTCACTTTTACACCGTTCAGGTCCATCAATATACGGAGGGTGGGAAGAAGCAGGGGAGATGCAACGGGCTTTTTTTTCTTCTTTTTCTTTTTGCTTTTGGGCACCAATGCTTCTCGCAAAGTCTCAGCTCCTTGCTGCGTTTGCACTGCATGCCTTACTGGTCATACCCCATTGCATTCCATCGTGGGACGTATGACAGCAGAGAGGGAAGAGGTGCAGCTAGTGACGTCCGACATCGCTAGTGTATATGCATAAAGGCAAAGGCCATGTATGTAGCCCGCGGAGGGGGAACAAGGCCCAGCCGAACCCAACGAACCTGACGGTCCTGTGTACGCCCACCACACCCACACCTGTCGTCTGTCGTCGCCTATCTGCTGCATCTGCAACATCGACGTGGCAGGCTGGTCGCGGGTCATGTACACATACATACAAGACTCGTGCGGACCAGGTACCGCCGCCTGGCCGGGTGTTTCCCCCTCTCTTACGCTCTCGCTTTCTCGTAGTCCCGGTTTTCTGAGATCGGAGAATTAAAGTGGCTCCTCAAAGGAACGAACGACCGGGGGGCTACCGCATCGTGCAGTAGATCGGAGCCCGAGCCGCCATGTCATCCCATTCCCATGCTAGGCTGCCAGGGAAAGGGAAAAATCGAATTGCGGGATTGTATCTCTTGGGTTTAACCTGGGCCTAGTCTAGCCCTTTCAGCCGGCCCCCAGAACCCCTGGTCTCCCGGCGATGAGCCCCGGATCCATGGTTTGCCGCCGCCGCCGCCGTCGTCGCCGTGCCGTGCCACCGCTGGTTTTCCCAGCCCGCTACTTGAGTGCATACATGCGTACCGGGAATAGATCCTTGGGAAAGCCGTTCTGCAACTCCGTCTTGACAAGGCGCAGGCCCGCTTGCTGAAAGAGGGCGCGGAACTTGTCATCCACCCTGTTTTGCGTTTGCCATGCGTCAGTGTCCCGTGTATGTATGTATATGTATATGTATTATGCAGGTGTCTTGCATGCGCCGCAGACTATCCAGTTACGTGGGCCATTGAGAGTAAACTGATGACCGCTACGAAAGGCAAAGTTTCTAACAGCATGACGGTTGGTGGTGGCGGCAGAGGCTGGCGACAATGGACCAGGACAGGAAGTCGGGGAGGACGATGATAGGTTTGAAAGTAAACTCACCTCGTCACACTGCTGTCAACATCGTCAAATAGATCGACACCGCTAGTGCTCAAGTTTTCCTTGACGACGATGAGACCGTCATTGGGGGCAACAACGGCCTTACAACGGCGCATGTAGTCTACAAGCTGGTCGTCGGTGAGATGGCCGAGACACCACTGGTTCCAAATGAGGTCGTAGGCGATGCCATCAAGCGGCTTCCACTCCTCAAGACCAATGTTGAAGACGGATCCCACGCCCGACTTCTCCTGCAGAGCGGCGGTGAACTTCGCAATGGGTTCGACGATGTCAACTTGTTCAGCTACATCGAGGAGGAACCCCTCTGTGATGCGGCCGATGCTGGGGGTTGGGGGTTAGCAAGGGTCTGCATGACACTGGGACTTGAACCGGGGAGACAGGGATGTTGCAGCAAGTATCCGTACACCACGGTGAGAGGTTCCGACATGAGATGCAAAAAGTAAGACAAGGGTTGAAGAAACGGGTCAGGAGAGGCAAATCATTAGCTCGGCCCGCTCGTGCAGTGTTGCGGTTGCGGTGGGTAAGGGTAGGTAGAGAGTGAAAGTGAGACAGATTATGGAGTAAACTCAGCATGAGTAACTGCAGAAGGAGGCAAAGAAAGAGAAAGAAAAAAAAAAAAGGGTTGGGAGGCGGTGAGGTGAGATAGCGGTGAGAAACGCCAGGGGGCGTGTACGGATATGAAGTTTGCGAGGTCGAGTCTGAAAATCAAACGCAAGCCATGTCCAATGTACGGGTACACCGGACGGAAGAGAAGAAAGTCGTAAAGAAAAACTCACCCGGCCCCGCCTTCCAGAGCGCGGCTCACCGTCCGCAGACCGCTCTTCGAGCCAATGCCCAGTTTGGCGAGAAAGTTGCGCGAGCCCTGCAGGTCGACCTTGCTGATGTAGGGGAAGCCGCCCAGCATACCGTTCACGTCGGCATCGATGCCCTGCCAGTAGGAACGGCCATCGGCGGCGCTGATCTTGGCGTCTGGCGGCGGTGTGGCTGTCTGTTCTGCTGTTCCTGTTCCTGCTGATGCTGAAGCTGCGGCAGCTTCTTCGTCACCGGCCATTGTGACGCAACGCGGGCAGCGACACGCAACCTCACTTGCTCGTCGTTAGCAGGTGTGTGTGGTAGGTGATGTGTGTGGCTCGTTGGCAGACAGCGTGGTAGTGAAGAAAATGATCGGAGGTTGCTTGGCTGTGTCACATTGTTGAAGAATATGTGCACTGCATCACAGTAGCAATGGTTGACGTGGATGCGAAGATGGAGATGACTCGGGTTTGTGCATTTTTACTGGATTAGAAAGAATGACGTGTGTCTAGATGCATATGGATGGATGCTATTCCATTAATGAGCACATATCACTTAAGCATGGTAAAGAAAGCTCATACCACCTACCTTATGTGAGCTAAGCTGAGATAAGATAAGAGGATACCGATAAGCCGATTAGATTGACACGCCGGCATGGAAGCCTGGGCAGGAAGATAAGGAACCTAGAAAGTCGTCATCAATCACGCGAAAAGAAGCTCTCCAATCTAAGGTTAACCTCACAACTCTATCACGACGGACTGCACCGGGCCCTTCGTTGCCCACTGCGCACAATTAGGTTGCCATGAGAATGCTTGCTGGAATATCTGCACTAGAAGAGTTTCTTTTGCCTTTTGATTTTTATATCCATCTGAACCTCCAGCCAACCTAAGTTAATCTCAGCTCCTGCAGCTGTCAGCCTCTCCCGGAACCCTACGGAGCACCGGCGGAGGAAGCGGAGCATAATCGCACCTCAATATCACAACACGCCAAAATGACGACCCCGTCTGATGGCCCGTTGTTTGCCAAGTCAGCCAGTGCTGTCTGGAGAACTCATTTTCCTTTCAAATTCCGTCTGCATTGTGGCATCGCCTGCGCCCGAACACACACCTTTATGTGAACGACACTTTGCAGGACCGTTCGGCCGTTATGCGCATCAATTTCCAGGCAGCGGGACGTTGGAGCATTCAAAAGGGACGAATTCGAATACATATTCCGGACGGCCTCTGTCTTCTCAATTTCTGGAACCAGTCAGCTGACTGTGCTTTTCCATTCGGAAATATTTGCGACGAAGCGGGAACTGTTTTGCCTGTTAGCCGGCCACCAACAATAAAAGTCGCCGTACTCAGCCACACCAGTCCATGCCGTCCTCGTTCTAAATTGCCTCATGGACGTTGTCAAACTGACTGGCTTCATCAACGGACGAGGTGGTTTTCCTGAAATGGACTCTCGAGTGAAAATAGTTCGTCGTCCCGGTGGGATCGATGGGGTTTCCTGTTGGGATTCGGTTGCGACGATGCTCACCTCGTCTTCCAGAGTCCCCACGACTCCGGCAAAACTTGTCTCTGAAGCGAGCGGCTCATGTCTAAAACTTCCAAAATCGGAACCCGAGGGGCCGCGATGTGGCCTGTGTCTCGAGTTGCAAACGATTATTTCCAAATACCTACCAACTGATCTGCGATGGAACCAGGAATCCGGGGATGCCAAGAGTTGTAACCAATATGCAACCGATATCAGGCGCGAGAAAGATTATGGAACAGAAGATCTGCAGATTCCTTGGAGGATATCGTTTCTTCAACCTCCAGGGCCTTACCCTGAACGCCTCGGCCATGGCCGGTGCCTTTGTCGACCTCTTGACCTGTCGACATTGACATCATGTGATACTCCAAGAAAACACAGCCCAGTCGAGGTTTTGCGTGGTGAGGTCCAGGCTTTTTTTTTTTTTGAGGCAAGGGGCCTTTCTGGGCTGAACGCAAAGCCCAGCCGTAACCAGGCACGCCAGGTTTCTCCTACACACTACCACGCTTCTGATACTAGCCCGGGGCCCGAACGTCCAAGATTGGGTCCCCTTTTCTTCCCCGCGGGGGCGGAACCTGCGGATCGCGTGAGGCAGCGAGCCCACGCGACGTTCGATTACCTGTCTAGATCACTGGTTCGGTATTTCGGCAGCCTTGTGGCTGCATCTGCTACTTGAAAGCTGTACGGCTCTTCGGCTTCTAAGCGCCGTGTCAAAAAGCTTGACTGACAACGGTCACCGACGACGGCATACTGCACCCGCGCCGCGTAAGTCTACTCCCTCGCATCGCAGGT